ATATCTAGCCTCCTTTGTCCTAACCCTAAATCTCGAAACCCTAAGCCATTTTTTGGTGATTGTAAGCTAATCTTGTGCATTCTTGGTGAGTTTGAAGAAGAAGGAGCTTGAAGGAGGAGCAAGAACATGAAGGAGGATTGTAGATCCAGAAGTTGGGCTTCGTTTTTGATTCATTTGAGGTATAAGGGTTCGACCTTGTCCATGGCATGCTTAGATCTAGTCTTATGATGCTTTATTTCATGTTTTGGTCCAAGTATAATGGTTTTTGATATTTGGACGTCCCATTTGGGCAAACCCTTTCAGATCTAGGGTCTTGAAGGTGCCAAATTTGTGGCCCTAGTAGCCCTATGCAACCTATAAGCTCTTGTTTTGGGCTTTCAAGCCCCAAATGGCCATGCATGTGGACAAAGTTTAGGAATTTACGTGATATTTAGGTTCTTATGGTCCAGATCTATGACCTCATGGTCTACCTTGTAGTTTTGGTGGTTTTGGATTAAGACTTTGGCACGTTTTGGGTTAGTGCTTGAGCTTATTCTCTTTATGAAGGGATTAATGGGTAAAGTTGGAAACTTTACCCTTCTAAAGGGTATTTCCAGTATAGATCTAGAGTATTGGGTTTAGATCTGAAGAATAAAGGCTTAACGCATTAAGAAGGTGATTCATACTGAAGAACTCGACGAGTTCATGAAGGAACTCGACGAGTTAATTTGAAGTGTCCCGATTCTGTTAAAAAGTAGAGAACTCGACGAGTTAAGGGAGAACTCGACGAGTTGATTCGTTGCATCACGATTTTGTGGTTTATGGGAACTCGCTGAGTTGAGTCAACTCGGAGCGTTGACTTTGACCACGACTTGGATGTTGACTTTGACCTTGACTTGACTTTGACCAAGGTTGACCCCTGGAGGGTTATGAAGTACAGAATGGGTTCTAAAAGGTAGTTGCATGAAAGGGTTTGGGCCCAATTTGGAAAATTGTGCTATTGATGGGATTTCATGGATTTTATAGTTTGGGCCTTGATGGGTCGGGGGTGAAACAATCATTTCACCCCAAGTGAGGATTATGGATCATGGTTGAGACCCAATTGCTAATTGGGTGATATTTTGGTATTGATAGCTCAGGGAGTTGTCAGGGCAGCAACTAAGGATTTTTGCAGTGATCTTCAGCATTCGAGGTGAGTCTCCTCACTGTTGTATGGGTCGAAGGCACCAATGCCGGCCCATTTGGTTTATGTATTATAGGAAGACCTGGGGGTTAGCCCTAAGCATTATGTATGAAAGACCAGGAGGTGGCTCCTGGCACAATGTATGCTAATTAGCTAAGTAGAGTAGTATGTATACTAGTTGTCTTTGTGATGCTTGCATGGAAGACCAGGAGGCGACTCTTGGCACTTGTCTGTAAGACCTATGGGGTGGCCCCCGGCTTGGAAAGAAAGACCACGTGGCGGCCCGTGGCATAATGGCAAGACTATGTGCGGCACATAGGACCTTTATTGATTATGATATATGAATGATATGTATGGCTCACGGTTATGTATGGCAGTATGTGATATATGTGTTTGTATGCTAGGATATTATGTGGTAGTGGTAGGGGTGAAATAGACCCTTTATCCATTTGGAAGAGACCGAAGGGGTAGGCCAGCACCCAGATATGCTAGGTAGTATCCGGTTGAAAGAGACCGAAGGGGTAGGCCAACACCCGGATATGCTAGGCAGCATGTATATTGTATGGTATGTGGTATTTGGGGAACTCACTAAGCTTCGTGCTTATGGTTTTCGGTTTTAGTTTTAGGTACCTCCATTTTTCAGATAAAGGAGCTTGGGAAGATCGCAACGCATACACTCGTGTTTTCCTCAATACGTGATTTCTGGGAATGAACTCTGATAAATGTTTTATTTGAAATGCTTTTCAATGTGTGAACAAAGTTACAAATGTGTTTTAGTTATATTAAAAATGAAATTTTTGGTTTTGAATTTTGGGATGTTACAATAGTATTAGGGTTCATCTACATTAAATGAAAGACTAATAGTATTAGGGTTCATCTACATTATACGAAAGACTAATGATTAGCTACCCATGGCAGAAAATAAGCACACAATCACATAAGAACTAGACATGATTAAGCTAATGCAAACCGAATGTAATGTGTAATCTTCAAACTCTTAATCTTTAATCAATTTTTTCTTCCAATGGTTGAATTTTGCAGGTCTCTGGCTTCTGAAAGCGACTATCACTTCCAGAATATCAATCGAACTCCCCAAAAAGTTGATATGTCAAGGAGTATTTATAGTTTCCATAAAACGTATCTCACGTCGTGAGAATTAGGGTCTCACGGCGTGAGATCTATATAATCTGTGTTTGACAAGGAAACATGCATTCCGCATAATTATCTTCTGGAAGTTCCCTTCTCACGATGTGAGGTTACAGTGCTCACGTTGTGAGCCTCTATGTTGTGCATATCATCGAGATTTTCCACTCGCCACACCATGGGACTCTGAAGCCACGATGTGGGACTCGTATTTTCATGATTTATCTTCTTTTTAAACTCCATCAAGCTCCCAACTTCAGCTTCAGTCCTTCCATGTTCTATTTTTTTTTGTCCTTTTTTCTTCAAGAATGTCATATTTGGCTGCAAAATGTAATTTAACCCTATAAGTACCAAATATCTTTTCTTTTAACCAAATTATAACTTAAAATGTATTAAAATAATGCCTAAATATATGTATAAATATAGCAATATCAAATAACATAGTCTTTTTGCCTGATGATTGTTTGGTTGCTTGATTGCATGGTATGTGGATATTTTATATGAAGGATTGATGGTGGAACGACACGAGACTTGTGAGCACAAATTACTCAGCGTTGATGGTAGATCAACATAGGAGCTATGAGCCTAGACACCCACTCTTGATGACTAGACTGACATTAGAACCATTTGTCACTAGATGGTTCGACACGAGAGCCAAAAGACATATTTGTATGTAGATCGACATGAGATTTGAGAGACTTTTTTGTATGCAGATCGACACGAGAGCTGTGAGACTGGTTTGTATGCATTTTATGTGTATTGTTGCCTGTGGTATATTGAGGAACTCACTAAGCTTTATCCTTACAATTGTTGATTCAATGTTTTCAGGTGGTTCTACTGTTAAGGGGCAGGGTCCAAGGAATGTATCACACGCGTATCGATGGAGATTTTATTATTTAGGCTTCCACTGTATTTATTATTCTGACACAATTTTTGATTTGAAAAATAAATTTTTTGTTTGAAAATTTGGAACATTACAATACTATTGGATTGTAAACCATAACTTTTGGGACAATAATTTCGTAAACCTAAGTGATTCGTACACAAATACTTTTAAATGACTAAATATTTTGAAAGGATAACACAAATACTTTTAACATATAAGACGGGTGTTTCAAACATGCCCCCATCCATCTCTTTACTACCATCATCATCCTTTATGCATCCACTCACTCATTCATATACCCATCTTCATCTCCTGTTAATTTGTGAAAACCATCCTACTTCAATATCCTTCTATCACCCTTTCCTCTTGAATTGTGTGTTACAATTAATTACTTTTATTGAAGAATGCAATTTTATTGTTGGAACATGAGATTGAATTGATTGGAGGTTTGAATCAATTTTTAGATTTAAATATGAGTTTGAATTGATTTTACTTTTTAGATTAGTTTTTTTGATAATGGTAGTGGTGATTGGTAGCAAGAGAGGGAAAGGAGGAGAAAAATGAATGAATGAGAGTGGTGGTACAAGGGATGTCGATATTAGTAAAGAGATGTGTGGGGGAGGTGGCTTTTTATTAGAAATAAAAAAAAATGTATGTTTTGCAATATTTTTTTTATAAAATAAACATTTAAAATGATATATATATTTTTTGGAATTATATTGGCCATAGAAGATGACCTTAAATGATGATGATGTGATAAAATGAAAATGACTAAATACAGATTAGTGTAAAATATGTATAAAGATATGAATTTAATGATATTTATTTAACAACAAATATAAGGTTAATAATATTTTTTGAACATGTTAATCGATTAGAATGGTAATAAACAGTCAAAATAGTATTTTAAAGTTTAGTAATAAATTATATAAAAAATATTAAATATGTAAAAAGTAAAAGTTTATTTCTAGGATATTTTTCCTTTTTATCAGAAAAAAAAATTAAAAAAATCATTCCTGAATAAGGCAAAGGCAGCTGGTATCCACTTGTTTCATGTTTTACCACCTGTGTGGTGGTTCTGCAACTAAAACTCATCTTGATCATTTTTACCCTTAGGCTGAACGGAGTCTTGCTCGCTAAGAAGGTCGCCATGCTCGCCAACTTGAAGGAAACACCGCCCCCTAGCTCTCGCTAGAGGGCTCGCCATTGTTTAGTCGCCAACATGTTAGCGAGATGAAAGAGAAAGGCAAATTTGTGTTTCAATGGTTGCATGTCTTTTTGCAGACTCACTTTTTCAGTATGCATAGTAAAAACAAAAATCACTGCTTTATGCATGGAATCAAATCTCTGTTTTACTTTATATATATATATATATATATATATATATATATATATATATTATTTAATATTAAATAAAAAATATTTGTTTATTAAAATAAAGTAATTAAATTAAATTACAAAAAGTAAATAGAAAAAAATATATTTATTAAAATATAGTAATTAAATTAAATTAAAAAAAAAATACAAAAAATTAAGTGCCAAGAGTGTTACCACTCCTTACCAAATGTTAAGTGTAAGTGTTAAATGGAGAAAAATGATGTGGCAACTAAAATGCTTATGTGACAAGATGCTAAGAGTGTCACCACTCCTCTTACCCTTAAAAAATAAAACCCACTTTAGAATCTTCAATAATCCCCGTACGCCGTACGATTCAATACAATAAGGGTAAAATTGTCATTTGACAATTCACCATTTCTAACCCCCACCTTCCCGTCTTTGATGGAGTCGCTGAACAAAAACGCAGTCAAAGTTTCATTTTATTTTCAACAACTCTGACCCTCTTCACAAATTCCCATTAATTTTCCCCTCCCATTTCGCCTGTTCAACCCCTGATTTTAAGAAGTTAAAAGTATTTAATCCCGTTATTTGTTTATATCAACTCTCGTGCTGAAAAAATAAAATTCGCCGATCGTTGTTCCCTTTTCCTTGTTTTCGAAGGAAAGGGAGTCTACGAAGTGCGATCATTTTTTCGGCGGAAGTTGATTACTTGGGATTAATTAAATTATGGATAACTATTATTATCATCAGCTTGCATCATGTCCTTCTTACAGGGATTCACTGAATGTTCTTGAGGTTGATATACAGTTTGCTAATATGCTGTAAGTCCTCTTCACTCTCACTCTCACTCTCACTATCTTCTTCTGTGTTATGTTTTTGCAGCTTTTCGCTGGATTAGGGTGTCTAATGGGATGTGAATATGGTTTTTTTTTTCTCACGTACTGCTTATAGGTAAAATTTTGTTAAAGATGTGTTTTTGTGTATTGATCGTGCACGATAAAACAATGGTTTTCTTTTGGTTCGGAGGTCAAAATTGCTATAATTTTCGTAAAATTTCTTGATTGTTTTACAGAAATTGTTGAAACTATAGGGAATTCTAGGTTTATGAGATTGTGGGTGTTTAATTTTTTTGGGGATTTATGCCAATTTTGCAATTATAAACTAGTGACGAACGGGTATTAGTTCTTCAATTTGGTAATGCAATTTGTGTGTTTTTTGAGTTTTGGCAATAATATTTACTTGACATAATCAGAGAAACTTATTACTTGTACTTCTTCCTCTGTTTCTATAGTTCGACTTGCTTGTCAAACTGGAGAGATTGAATTATAAAATTGACATGCGTGTATGTAAATTGCGAAGGGTAAAAGCTTTACTAAATCTGAGTAAATTCATGAATGCCATCAATTCTGAATTCACTGTTTGACCAAAAGTCAACAACCTTTACATTTTTTAACTTTTTTTGGGGGGTAGTAGAAGAGAAACAATTAACGACGTGGTTGTCTACATAACTTCAGCACCCTTTTTCCCAATATTCAAAATACCCAAAACCCTTTTTTACTCTAAATCAACGATTTGACCAAAAGTCAACATCTTTACATGTACTTTTTTAATCCTTTTGCTTACAGGGCAAATTCTATTCCAAGGGATAAAAGTGGCGCGTGTCTTCAAATGGAGCTGGGTTACAGTGACATGGCATACATTTTATCATTTCTACTCCAATGGATCGATTTCCCATGTTCATGTTTCCTTCAAACATGTCTAAATTTCTGTTACGTGGTTGTACACAAGGTTAGAATCGTAAATAACCAAGCAAACACTAAACAATATGTGTGTATCATTTCCATCATTCCATGTTTGCAAGTATCACCATAACATCGGTTGGTTTGCGTTTCAGGTTTTGCCAGATGGGAAACCAAAACTTACTTCACTTGGGAGAAAGGCAACCATTAGAGAGTTCTACGGTATGCAAACAAACATAAAACATCAGTGTACTTTTAGAAATGGTCAAGGGTTTGACTCTCAGTAGTGTGGGAGTTTCAGTTTCAATGTGGATTGTATTTACATCAATCTCATATGATACGATGCTTTTGGTCAGTGTGGGCCAACTAGCAGACTGTTGTGTGTACTTGATTTACAGTGTGGGCCAGGGTTGTTGGAAGAATAACCCTTTTGCAGAAACATCAAACAACAAACTATTTTGTTATTGATTTAAAAAAAAAAATACATAACTCAATTTTTTTTCAGATGTGATATTGCCATCCCTCAAACGTCTACGAACAAACCCATTGGAGATCGAAGACACTGAAGAGAATATTCAACCTTTTGGGACAAATCCCAGAAAGAAAATAGAAAAAAATACAAAAAATACAGATGTTGATATGGAAAGAGAAGACGAATGTGGTATATGCTTAGAGCCCTGCACCAAAATGGTTTTGCCCAACTGTTGTCATGCAATGTGCATCAATTGCTACCATGACTGGTAAGTTAGTTTTATAACATATTTCACATTTCTTGTTTTTTAGGCTAAATTTCAAGATTTTACAGGAACATGAGGTCAGTATCATGCCCCTTTTGTCGTGGTAGCTTGAAGAGAGTGAACTCAGAGGACTTGTGGGTTCTCCCATGTACAGGAGATGTGGTTGACCTAAAAACTGTGTCAAAGGAGGACAAAAAAAGATTCTATAATTACATTAATAAGCTGCCTAAAGATATCCCAGATGCTGTATTCTTGGTATACAATGACTACTTATTTTAATCCGAGTTGATAAAATGGGGTTAGCTTTTTCTTGTATATTTGTAATTTTAATTGATTTTGCAGGCGATTTCTGCAAAATGATGTACATTCTTAGTGTAGAACTTAACCATCGTTTCCAATAGAGATTGTGTTCTCTGAAGCTCCCAGTATGTTTTTACTCTTAGCTGCAGGAATTTGTCTTCTTTTGACTTTTGAAAGTCAATCCTAGCACTTTTTAAATCCAAATTAGCCATGAAAACTGTACATTTGCATCCACAATTTTTCTTCACTCTGGTTCTTGTTCTATTCTATAAAACATTCAAATTTCATCATGGGGCCTAATTATAGTCATATTAATTCTCAAGTTAAAAGCAGTTCTGTTTGACCTCAAAAGTCAAGAACAGACACTTATTCTGAAACGGATGGAACCTCATATCATATATCATGTCTTTAGGTTTTCTTCTTCATGATATAAAAGGAATTCATATGATGTGGTATTTCTCATTCCTTACGTTCCAAACAACAGTTTGTATTGTATTTGACATGCAACTATCCCAATGAGACAAAAAATTGTAATTTTTTGGGTGAGATAGAATGGGTTTTTGATCTTGTATGTACAAAAGACCTAAATACCCTCTTTATCATCGAAAATAGCTCTACAGACTGCTTTTAGCATGCATTGTATTTGGATCGAAATTGATGTCGGTGTGATCAAGACACATTGTCATTTTTGTTAGTATAAAAGGCGTATACGCCTTGTCCAAGTTTATTCCATGTAATAAACACATGACTCCTACATATGCTAAGATCATAGACTCGAAACAAAAACACAAAAAGAGGGGTTCACAATAGTCTAGCCCAAGTAGTTTTTGCTAGTCAATAAGGACCCGAAGGGTGGATGAGTTAACCCCTCATTAACATACAAATCAAAAACCGCCTTATACATAGCCTCAGTTAAATGAACCCCATCCCAATTAATATACTTAGAAGGTTCTTGACACGAGCTCGAAGACTGGGACCCACAAGTAACAGACAAATCAAAGTCATATGGTGCACCCTTACCACTCGACCCACAACAAACTTTGTAAAGCTCCGTGAACCCTAATTTGGATGCGTTCTTGATGACATTCCGATACGCGTTCCAGTAATCAGCATAAATAATGACAACTTCCGGATACTTTTTCCTGAGATCTTGGATTTTTGTTTGGAGAATGGTGTTGTGGTCATAGCTTTGTTTGTTGAGACTACCCACACACCCTATGTCATCACGGTCTGATTCGGGTGCATATGCCATGGATAGGGTCAGGCAACCCGTGGTTGGGAGGCCTTCCACTACCATGTATTTTGCACCTTTTTTAAGCAATGCCTGCCAAAAATACATGATTCTTATGCATAATGTTCTTTGTTTTGATATTATGTATATGGTAAAATTTTGGTAAATAAAAACTTAAAAGTACGTTACTCATATTGATAGCGAAATGTAAGCATGTTGTTATGCTTGGTAAAAAACTTATAAGTACATTGTTATTATGTAAAAAATGCAAATAGGTTATTTTTATAGGTAAAAACATAGAGTATATTGCATATATTAGTAGCGAGAGTAAAATATGTTTTAATTACCGACAATTTGTCATTTAGTAATTATCTCTAGAAATCCATAATAAGTATCTTTTCGTATGATTAATATCAGCTAACATATTTTGTTTTGTAATGCTTACTTTTTCATATCTATAATAACAAGTTAACAACTTACCTATTATTCATTATACATGTGATAAAAATAAAGTAAAGTTGATATTTTCAGGTAAAAATATAGGTAGGTTAAACTTTAAGCTATTATGATCCTCCCTAATAAATAAAAAACTTTTTACCACTTGTCAATTTCTTATGTATTTAGACACATGTAATTTTGTGGTTAATTCTTAGAAATTAATTTTCACTTGTCATTTTGTGGTAATTTTTGATTTTCATAATTGACTATCTAATTTTTAGGTTATAGAAAGTAATTAATGTGTCATTAATTTGTTTCCTTATATTTTCAAATTGTAATATGTTTCATTCAATATATATAATTCAAAATTGACACATTTCTTTTAAAGTTCATTGTCATTTTAGGCAAAATGGTCTATATAAAAAAATAATCAAACTTTGTTACTTTTTATTGACAAACTAAAAAAATGTTATATGGTCAAAATATAATTATTTTTCTGTAGTTTGTTTTATTAATATAAATTGAATTATTTATTTATTCATTATTTTGTTTGTATATATATTTTGAAATTTTATGTAAAAAAAATACTTAATGTTTACACTTTGATATTTAATGTTTTCTTTAAAAAAATATTTAAATTTTATATCATTCATATATAATTTTTTTTAATCAACCCGGGTTTCACACCTAATTATGAATAAACAATTGAAGTAGCATTGTTATTATGAGTCAAAAATAAAAAAGAAAGTATATGATCACAAAGTAAAATAGATTGTTATTATTTGTGATTTGGCGTATAATAATTACCTCTAGAAATCCATTGACACTGCGAATGGAAAGCTCTTGAATGGTTTTGCTTTGAACAGAAGATCCAACGGTGTACGCGTAATCATTGGCTCCAATCTCACCAACCCAAATCAACGCATCATCAAACACCTCCTTACATTCTCTTGGAGTTGATTTTGCACTTTTACACTTTTGCCCCTTCAGATCCTTGTTAAACCAAGCAAGTTCACTTTGTAAGGACAGAGGCTGGATGTTTAGAGTAAGGTTATTTTTGACAAAGAACTCATGCGGTATGGCGGTGGACCCCGCCACAGCATAGTTGACACCAAACGAGGTGTCAGCTTTGCGGTGGCGGTAGGGCGGCAAGTAGGGCAAGGAGAGTGATTCCGCCACAAAGTCAATGACAAGGCGGCCGTCGGAGTAGCGGTTGGTGGGGTGGTGGAAAAATGTCCGGCCATAAGGGAGGTTGGAAACGTAGGTGAAGGCATTAGGGCCGCTAGCGGAGGCGGTGTTTCCGGTGTCGGTGTAGGAATCACCGAATGCATAGATTTTCTTGAACGGCCGTTGGGTTGGATTGGCAGAGGTGGTGGCAAGGAGGAGGAAGATGGCGGCAAAGGTGGTGGTGAAAGGTGGCATGGTTGATGTGTGACCTTTTTGAGAGTGTCTTTAGTGGGTTTTTATAAACTGAAACTTGTGAAGGAATTAAAGTAGGCTTGTAATATAGTATTATTATACGTGATAAATTAATAGATTTTGATTTGTAGTTCTTTGTTGTAATGGAAGAAGAGGTGAAGAGGGGGGGGGGGGGGGGGGGGGGGGGGGGGGGGTAATAATATGTGGGGTAGTTGAGGAAATTCGGTTTTTAATTTTATAAAAGCTTTGAATGTTATGGGATGAATCGTATCCTATCACCAACTTTTGCGGTGAATGATTAAATAATTTGTTTGTTATCTTTTATTTTGTGATGAGACGTGGCATATTCTAATTTACCCAATTTATGTAAGATTTAAGTTTACATCAACTGAATAAAACCTTGTTTGTTTCAGAAAATGGAAGTGATTGATTCATTAAAAACTGGGTTTGCTGAACTATAACTTGAGTTTCTCAACACAGTTTTTTATTTTTATTTTTGGTTTAAAGAAGTTTGGAAATAGATGGTATTGAAGATTGGAGAGAAATGAAAGAAGACTATGAATGAGGTTGTTTTCGTTATGGTTTTATAAGATTTATTAAAAACAAAGACTAGAAATTACAATATTTATAAAAGAAAGTAAAATGAAAATTTGAACCATAAACAAAAGACCGGTTTAAAAAAAAAACCGACACCAAATTGGTCTAAAACGAGACCGGACTGAATCAAAACTGGTCCGAAAAAATGAACTGTTTGAGGACTGGTCTTTTTTTCTTCTCTTTTTTTCTTTTATTAAGTTTAGTGTATCATTTTTCTATAATTTTTCTATCATTTTAATATATATAACACATTTATTAACGAAAAAATATGAAACCGAAACAAAAAATAGAAAATACCAAAAAAGACCGAGACCGGATCAAAAACCCAGATACGATCGGTATAAAAAAAGACCAGACCGTTTCGAAAGCGACCTGAAATCAATCCATTTCAGATCCGAGACCACCAATATCAAGGTGGTTGTGTTTAGCATTTTTTCCGAAAAAGGCGAAATAAAAAGGGATGGAGACATTGTTGGGATGGAGACATTAACTGAGGAATCTAATTGAAGGATTTGTATTTCAAAGAAAACATCGGACATTAAAAGCTGAAGATGTTTCACTGGCCCAAATAACACATAAGTACTTGAGTAGCTATTAATCTCTCATGGGCCTCATCACTATTATAAATGGTCAAAACTCAAAACCAATTTGTGGTGAAGTTTGTTTCTAAAGTCTATTATGAACCAAAGCCCATATGAAGTATCAACGAGGCTTAATTTTCTTCATCTTTCATAAATTGACTTTGAGCTACAGTGCAACAGTTTAACAGATGAATGGTAAGCTTGGTGGAGAATGTGGCTTCATCAACCAATCGAACTTGCTTGCCTTCAACTTTCTCTGGGTATTCATCAAATACTCTCTAGAATTACCAAGCTCCAATCCGTTGTGAGATAAAGGGAAGAGGTTAATGAGTCGAATCATGGCCGAATGAGATGATATTGTAATGTTTTGGGATGAAGATCCTCGATTTTAAAACAACAACAACAACAATAATAATAATATTAATGGAGTATAAAAATCAAAAAAATTGATAGTATAGTGACTTTCATGCCATATCAACCCCATTTTCTGTAAATTATAAAGGAACAAGCAAATTGGTTATTTCTTTTATCCCATATTGGTGGGGAAGAAACCTTGTGTGAGATTATAAGTTTTCTTTCTCTCTCTCTTTCTTGATGGACATTCAAACTTCAAAGGCTTTAGTGGATTAAGAGATGAGTCAAGCTCACACGCGTACGACGGTTGTGGGGAGCTGATGAACTTTTGTTTTTTTCTGAGTTCGGGTCGAGTCGTTTGGACTGACGTGGTCAATGTTGACCAGGTGTTTTGCTATTGTTTTAAGTTTTAACAAATGTGATTTATCCATAATTTATAACATGTTTACATATGGATTAAATTTATATAAATTTGCATGGTTAGTTCAAATGTGCAGCAAATTTGTAAATCCATATTGTTATAATTAGCAACGTCCAAAAGTTGTAAAACCATTATATTTAGAAAACTGAAATGTCGAAGTCGTCTATATATAATATATTTTTCTCAATATATACAAGTGATGAGAAATGGTTTTCTGAAAATCGTTATCAACTTCTTTTTAACATAATACAAACAACTAGACAGGAGGAATAAATTTAAGAATGACAAAAGGCATGGAAACCAATATCTTTATTAAACAAATTCTGACGATATCAACTTTTAATACCCAATAATTTATGTTTTTGTTAATAGCTATGTACAGTAAATTATTATGTTTTAAAGGAAAAAAAATGGTTTGCAATATTTTTTATAAACACCAATCATAAGTTGTAAGTTAAGTTGTAAGTGTTCATAATCATTAATCTGGTTTACACATGAAATCTAAAAGAGTAAATTACACGAATGGTCCCTATGGTTTATGGTAATTTGTGCGTTTGGTCGTTAACTTATTTTTTTAACTCGGAAGGTCATTACTGTTTGTTTTTGTTACGGGCTTGGTCCATGTCTTATCTAAAGAGACTATTTTGTCATTGATTTTTTAATTTATTTAAATAAACACTGTTAGGTCCTACCTTGTTGGTTTGTGCTAGGCATGTACATGTTAGGCTTTGTTAATCATTTATTGAGTCTTAATATGGGTTTTCGGTGGCACTGGGTGTTTTCGGTGGAACTGGGTGTTTTCGGTGGCACGTCTCCTATTCTCGGTTAGGGTTAAAAGAGTCTTCGACGGCACACTAGAGTTCTCGGTCATCGTTTTCGGCCGAAATCTATTGTTTTCGGTCAACCTCATCTGTTGACTTTCTGAGTTTTCGGTATGACATTCCTTGACTTTTTGGACACATTTTATTTTAATCAATTAAAATGGAACCTCAACACAATGCCTTACATCAAGAACTGGATTCAATTATGGGAACCACTACAAGAATTCCACGTCTTTTATCAGCTGATGGGTTTCCAGAATGGAAGTACAGGATTGAAAAGTACATTAAGATGAAAGATTTTAAGATATGGAGAAGCATCCTTAGAGGTCCGGTTAGAATTACCACAACACTAGAAAATGGTAAAGTAATTGACAAAGCTGTGGAGAATTACACTAATGCGGACTTTGAGAAGATTGAGGAATAAGAAAAGGCGCTTGCAACTTGACCATGGCATTGTCCGCTGACATCGCTCAAGGATTCAGGGAATATGATTCTGCAAAGGCTCTTTGGGAAGCCTTGATAGTAGTTTATGAAGGAAACGATGATATGAAACAGAGCCGGCAGGAACCGCTCCGCCAAAGGTTCAATATGTTAAACCACGTCCTTGGGGAGACTCTTGAAGCCCAACTACAACGATTCATCATTCTCACTACTGAAATGAGTAGTGCAGGAATCTCAGTATCCCGCTCTAAGATAAACAAGAAGCTGTTAAACTCTCTTCCCAAATCGTGGGACATAAATGTTTCTGTCATTAAGAAGACCAAGGATCTTCACAGGCTCTCTCTTGCTGAGATTATGGCTATCATCAAGGCCTGTGATTTGGATGATAAGCAGCATGAGATAAATCACGTGAATTCCTACTCCACAGCAAACCTGAAAAATCTCGTCAAACAATGCTTTTTCATCATTCTCTGTTCCACAAACTCATTCTCCTATGCCTTATCAACATCCAGCTTCCTCAAGTTCTTCAGGGTCAAATTCAAAAGCTCCTGCCACAATTTCAACTCCCAAGGAAGCTGAAGAAAACATGACATTAGCTTCTGGTCTTGTGAACTGTTATAATGCTTTCTTGGCAGAAGACTTACCTCCTCAAATCTCATTTGCAGATCTTGATCAAATTCATCCAGAAGATGTGGAAGAGATGGATATCACCTGGCAAATTGCAATGGCTGTGTTTAGGGCTAAGCAGTTTGCTAAGAAGACAGGGAAGAACAATTGGAGTATGAATGGGGACAAGAAGGTAGGGTTCAGGAGAGGCAAGCTTAGGTGTTTATCACGAGCCAGGTCACTTTGCTTGTGATTGCCCAAAGTCAGACATAAGGGAGAATCCTTATAGGACGCTGGTGCCAGTTGTGAATAATATAGGAGATGCCACCAACAATGAAACTGCAAACCTGGCAGTGGTGGCTCAAACTTTTGATTGGGATGACCAGATTCAGGCGTTGAACATTACAGGGCATGAGACTACAAATCTGGCGCAGATAAGTGAGCTCCCTGATAAAGATGCTGAAGAAGATGCTGAAGCGGAGATGATGCAGTTGCAGTTTGCTTTTATGGTCTCCACCACTCCTGAAACAAAAGAGGTCAGTGAAGTTTCTTGTTCTCAAAATTGTATGGATACTGTTAAACTTCTTCGTGATCAAATTGATATATTACGTAGAGACAATGAGGACCTTAGGTACGAAGCCTATACCCTTAGGAAGGGCCAAAAACCTCTAAAAGAACAACTAGAGGCCAAGACAAGAGACTTTAGACAGCTTCAGGAAGACTATACAAATGTGAGAATTATAACCATGTTAAGAGACAGCTTGTCAGCTTGACTGACGAGCTTGACACATTGAAGACTAGATTTGAAAATGCAGATTTTAACTTCAAAAAGTTTGATGTGTCAAGTAAGACAATTGAGACCATGATAGAAAAACAGTTAAAATGGCATGACAAAAAGAAAGTATGTCTAGGGTATGACAGTGTTCCTCCTCCTTTTAATCATATTTACACCTCTATCCTTATGACTAAAGAAGAAATGGGCAGAGAAGCACACCTTCAGTATGGCAAATTTATTGTGGTTGTGCCAGATCTAGGGTGAACGATATTAATGTCTCCACATCATATGCAGATTCATCCTTAGTACAAGACAGGCAGAAAGCTGGAGGAAGTGTTTTTTATAATGATTTTGCTTTAAAAACTAATTCTTTGAAAAATGTTTCTGGTTTAAAAACTACTGTTTTTGTTTCTGCTTCTACTGCTTTGAAAACTGATACTTTAGTTTCTGATAATCCTGGTTTGAAAATTGTTTTTGTTGAAT